GTGATTACGAAAGATGAACTCCAAACACTCGTTCACTCGATGAAAAGACGCTGTGAAGCTGTCTTAGAAAATAAGGGTTATCCTACTAAGTATTGATTGTGTAAGTATCGCTTTAAAAAAAATACAAATCTAAGATAGATCTTTATTAGTTGCATAACTTTTTTTGTAATACAGATATTGTAATACTGCATTTATTATTAAATTTTGCATTAAATTACCTTCAATTTGATACGTAAACGTTTGTATTTAAGTGAAAATTAATATATTCAACAAGCACACAAATTTGAAAAACATGAAATTTTAAAAAAATGTCCACACTTTTGGCCACCACTGTATATATATATATATATAAATTGTGCAATAAAATAAAAAAAGGTATATTTCGTATCTCAGTTAAAAAATTTAACATTAAATATACAGTATAAATTTAAGGTAAGTTGATGAAGATTTGTTTGTGTTATATTGCGTTCTAAAACAAGAAGAAAAATTCTTTATTTTCAACAAAACCACTATTTATTTATAAGAAAGAAGTAGAAAATTATATAAATAAGCAAATATTGGTTTTTAGAAAAATCATTTGCCGTATCATATCTGTGAAACAACAGTCACATTAGGCAATATCACTGACAAGAAAAAAAAAATCTTTTCTTCTAGTCATTTTTTTTAAATTGTTTTCCTTCTTCTCAAAATGTAAATGTAAAATGATATGTGTCTCAAAATCATTGGTAAAAAAAATCTACAAAAAAAAACTCCAAAAGAATATTCATAGACATATTCGGGAGTTTTAAGTAAAAAGCAAAAAATACATAAATAAATAAATAAAACCTCTTCGAATCAGTTTTTCACGCAATCATTTCTAGGTAAGCTGCATATTCTTTTTGATTCAATTTTGAAGCTGCTTGTTTTTTGTTTTTCTGCTCTAAGTTTGTTTGGAATTTTGAATTGATATGCAATACATTAAAAAAATTACAATGAATTTTTATAATTTTTTTTTAAATTTATAGTAGGCCATGGATCAGTGCTGTGGCAGCAAAAATATTTAAACATTACGGTTGTTTCTCTAAAAATTTCCATCGGACTTTTTTAAAAAGAAAATTATACTAATACATCTGTGCAATCCTTATTTTCATAAATGTTTTTAGTATTTTGCAGCCATTTTTATAAAAAATTCCTCGTTTTGAGTAAAGTCACAATGATTTAATTCAGTTTAGATTAAACAGAGTTAGATTAACAGATTGAACGAACATAACGTAATTGTTTATGGAAAACCGATTCTAGAGAAGAGCTTGACCTACAATGAACTGCCGAGTCAGTAAAGAAGAAGAAGAAGCTATCTGCTTAATAAAATGAAAAATTACTTATTTAAAATTACTAACATCTTAACTTGATATTCTAAGAGTTTGAGAATTTCTTTAAGTATTTAGTAGGACTTCGAATTTCCTTAGGTTATCAACCGCTATATTTTTTTAATCTAATAAAGCGAAACTTTCATTTCCATTTTTTTGAAAAATAGGAAAATAGGCTCTCTAATTTTAATTTATCATCTAAGGTTTGTTAGAAAGAACAAATAAATAAATAAGTAAATAAATAACTAAATAAAGCACGAAATTGAAAAAAAATTATACAATTTCCGATGGCAATGAAAGAAAGCTCTTTAAAATTAAACTACGTTTTTACGAATTTTTACGAGTTTTATTTCACGTGGAAAATCGTAGTACACCGTAAAAAATAAATTAAAAAATGAGTGAACAACCAGAATAATTTTTGGTGTATAGATTGGATTTTTGCGTAATCGGACTGGAGTTTAATCGTTCGAGGGCCTAACCTTAATTATGCTAATTAGATAGTGCAGACGATACTTTACGGCAATCAGACACATAAATAGACTTTCAATAAATAGATATACCTTTTTGGCAGGTTTGAATTCCTTATTTTTAACGTAAGAAGGTGGTGGCATCTGATAAATATGGTCCGAATTGTTTAGGCAGCATATAATAATCCTCTAAATAAACTCCCCCCCCCCCCCCNATAAACCCCCCCCCCCCCCGAAGGATTTGAATATTTTACTTTTAACGTATGAAGGTGGTCGCATCTGATAAATACGGTCCGAATAGTTTAGGCAGGATGTAATAATTTTCTAAATAAACTTTTTCCCCCGAAGAATTTGAATTCTTTACCTTTAATGTATGAAGGCGGACGCATCTGGTAAATATGGTCCGAATAGTTTAGGCAGGATGTAATAATACTCGAAAGAAACTTTTCCCGAAGAATTTGAATTCCTTAACTTTAATGTATGAAGATGAACGCATCGAATATATATTGTCTAAATAGTTTAGGCAGGATGTAATAATTTTTTAGATAAACATACCTTTTTCCCCCAGAAGAATTTGAATTTTTTACCTTTAATAAATGAAGGTGGACGCCTCTAGTATATATAGTCTAAATAGTTTAGGCAGGACGTAATAATTTTTTAGATAAAAATACCTTTTTTTCCAGATGAATTTGAATTCTTTACCTTTAATGTATGAAGGCGGACGCATCTAGTAAATATGGTTCGAATAGTTTAGGCAGGATGTAATAATACTCGAAAGAAACATACCTTTTCCCCCGAAGGATTTGAGTTCTGTATCTTTAATTCATAAAGGTGGAAGCATGTGGTATACATTTTCCAAATAGTTTAGGCAGGATAAAGCAGGATCATCAAGCGGGATAATGGAGTATCAAATATACAGAAGATTATTAACAACAATTTTTCTAATACATTTTATATTATATTGTTTTTCACAAATATTTGAATAATGTAGAAATATACTGCTAATTCGGTGTAAAAACTTAAAAAGGTTAATATATTCAGTGATTTTTGTTTTTTGCTTTTGACGAACTTTGCCAGCCTTACATATAAGTACTTATCTTCTACGAGTATAACAGAGCACATTTATTTCACTTAATACATTTTGTTTGAATAGATATAAATGATACATAAAAGTCTAGTACTCTAAACTAAAGATGCTAGATCATACATGAAGGTGTAATAAACATTTTTATTACTCTAATGGCTATTATTGCTATTAATGTTTTCAAAGCAAAAGAACATTAACGGCTTGGAAAAAAAGTTAGGATTGGGTTAATGGCTTGGAGTTAAAAGGCACAACATAAATAGGTCGGAATTTTAAAGTTAGTGAGTAAGATTAAAAAGTAATGAAGAAGTTGGCATTTATAGTTTTTTTAAATTTTGTTTCAGCCATATTTATACTAGAGATATACTTTTTAAGTAAGGTGTGTATGTGATTGGTGTTTAAAATTTTATTGCGATTGTCGTTTAAAGTAGTGTTTCTGTAGGGTTCGGTATATTTTTGTTTAAGACGCTTTTTGCATTCAAATTCTAAGTCTGTATCCCTTTCAATACATGACTATAATGCATAAGATTATAGCAGAATGGTATTAGAAAACTTCATTCACTTCAAAAATGTATAAATAGGACATGTTTCAAGCACTCAAAAGCAGGTGCTCATTTTAAAGACTTTTGTTTCATATCATGAAACAAAAGTGATTTGAAGTATAAAACGTAAAATTGAAAGTTATAGGTGAGAAACAAAATTAGAAAAAAAAATCACAACGGCCGAGAGAGAAACAAAGATGATACTTTATTTACGTCGTAGTAGGCACTTTATTTACGTCGCACTAGAGCTGCACAATGAGCTATTGGCGACGGTCTAGGAAATATCTATGAGGATGATCCGAAGACTTGCCATCGCAATTTTGATCCTCTGCAGAGGGGATGGCTTCCCTGATTTGGTAGCCAGGCGACCTGCACGCGAAGTCGAGCACATTACGGTAGAACAGTTTAACGAGGACCGATACCGCGCACCCTCGGTCCCTACGCAGACTGATCCAAGTGGTCACCCACCCGCTTACTGACTGCAGCCAGTGATGCTTGACTTCGGTGTTCTACTGGGAACCGTGTCTTTACGATCAGTTCCCTGCGGGACGAAAAAAAGATGACAAACAGAACAAGAAAAAATATAGTCGAGAGGGGGAAAGCAGGATTTTTTTTCTCTCTCGGCTACTGTGGTTTTTATAGTTTTTCACCCTTATTTTTCCATTTTTTTTCAACTTTATATTGTTTTTTATTTCAAATCACTATTGTTTCTTCTCATTAAAGTCTAGAAAATGGACGCCTTTTTTGGAGCTATGTTGACACTTATTTCCTATTTATATATATTTTTGAAGCGAATGAAAAGGATACTAGAATGTTATTTTTATTCTAAAATCATCCGGTCCATTTATCAAGTATTTGTACGTACTTCGTGTATATTTACTTAGTACACATTCTTACACTTCGAACATTCCTTCTTTAGTTAAAAATGTAAGAAATTGAAATTTTTTAATTTAAAATGTAATATTTTAAGAGATATTTTAAAATTAGTTCAAATAATGAACAATTGTAAGTTAAAATATATATTAAAATCAAAAATTGCTTAAATACAATTTATATATTATATATATTTCGGTTTAACATTCATGCATATGGATCGAATGAGTAAGTAAATATATTTTTGTATTTATAAAATAATAATAACGTAATAATGTTTTTAAAATTACAGTTATTTATTTCGTATTTTTGGAGAGTACCATGATGTTGTATTTTAAGTATATTTCAAGTAAAATGTGTTTAAAACTGCGATAAAAATATAAAAACAAAGTTATGACTTTTTTTGAAATACATTTGGAACATAATTCTAGAAAATACACCAACTGAAACTTTTCATGTGTAAGTAAAAACAAGTTGTATACAAATAACAAATTTAGGCTAGTAAGTTTAATCTGATAAAAATCATTAATAAGATTTTCCCAAGATTTTTGTTTTTCCTAGAAAATTGACCGATATTTTTTTTATTTAAAGTAAATATTGCTATTTTATGTTATCTCTTTAAACACATGTTCCCTACGTTCATTCAATTACGAGGGGGAAAAAAGGGATTTTTATCTATCGTCTGCATCGGTGTCCGAAAGCGGGGAGAAAAAATTCCTTCGTGTTATTCGAACCCAAGATATCGTTTGGTTTGCTTGTGTCTGTCTGTTCAGCGATCATTTTTTAATTATCGTTTTCTTGTTTTGCGATTTTTCTGATTTCCTTTTTCTTTCGATATGGCTGAAATTGATTATCGTTATTGCTTTGGAGCGCAGGACGATGTCATTGTCCAGAAAAGGATGCTGACCGTACCAAAAATTGACAATTTGAACGATTTAATTCGAGAGTTGCGGTTGGCATTCGCTACGGATCATGTCAATATTGAAAGAGTTCAAGATCTGATGTCTGCATACAAGTCGAATCCGAGGGATTGGATCAAGTTTGCCAAGTTCGATAGATATCGGTAAGAATTTTTAATTTATTTCTATTTTGAATTTAATATTGATTTTAGATAACTAGGAGACTCTGCTCACCAACCCCTGATTGTTTATCGTTTGTCCTTTTTCTGAAAAGTCATTTTTTTTTCAAATAAGAAGATTTTGTTAATAAAACACACGATATTTATAATTTAAGTACGAGAATAATTTGCAAATTTATGTTAATCGTAACAAACGAATGGTTAACTATATTTAAAAAATAAGCAACTGCACTTGATAAAATATTTTTAAGGAGAAATATATGAGAAGTAATTTTACTCGTTTAAGAGACTTGTATCATTATAACAGAACAAATAAGAAAACAGATTTTATCTCCTATGAGTTATTATTATTATTATTTTGTATTTTTAAAAATTATTATTATTTTGTATTTATCATTATAAATGTAAAGATTTATATGTGGCAACATCTTCTGTCTCCCTCTTTTTTTCTTCCTTTTTTTTTCAACAGACGGCATCAACTAAAACACTATATTATAATAGTTAAATAAATTTTCCTATAACAATAAATAAATATTTATAGCTTAAATTCAGCAAAAATGAGAAAAAATTCCCGAGAAAAGAAATTAAAAATTTCAATAACTTCCATAAAAAATTATGTCTAGTTCTCAAACAAAAATGTCCCTTTCACCACGCCTAATTTCGATTCTGCAGTTACATCTCTGCGAGCTGTATTGCGGCCTGCATGGTATTTTTCACTACAAATTACAAATTTATCTCTTAATTATCAGATGTTAATTATTTTTTATTCCATGGTACTCCCTGTGCATTTTCTAACGCATTTCTAATTTCTAAGTCTTGCAATTATTCTTCCCCCCCCCCCCAAAAAAAAGAAACTGTATTGTAAATTAAAACATTCGTGGCTCCATCTATCACGATTTTTTGTTAATATAGAGAGATTATTGTTTTAAAAGCAATTTGAAAACGAATAACAGTGAATTCATAAAGCGGATCACTCGTCCGTGTTTTGGGTGTTCAACTTATTGTTGAATTTTGTTTTGTTGCGCAAAAAATTTACGACCTAAAAATTTGAAATTATTAAGATGCAAAAAATTTACAACCTAGAAATTTGTAATTATGAAAGTGTGCAGAAACTTACGCCCTAGAAATTTGTAATTATGAAGGTGTGCAGAAAATTTACGACCTACAAATTTGCAATTATGATGGTGTTCAGAAAAATGTACAGAGAGTAAGATGGAATAAAAAATAATATTCGATAATTAGTTCGGAAATTTTTAACTGTTTAACTTGACATAAAAAATACCACACGGCCAGCCAGCAGTCTGCAGGAATTTAACTACAGAGTTAAAATTCGACATGAGGAAAGAACCATTTAAGTTTGAGAACTTATCGCTAATTTAATTTCGAAATTCTAATTGGTTCGAAAGTCTTTGAAAATTTATGCACTTTTCCGTCATTTTTTGTTTCCCCCCTTCTTTTTTTGAGTGTTTTTAAGTTTTTTTGCTTCAAATAATGACTATTTATTATTTTCCCTTCTCCAGATTTTTAATAATACATTTTGTAAGCTCGCGCTCTGAAAGATGTCGATCAAAAGTTGCAAAATAAATAAATAAATAAAAAGGAGAGAAAAATTACATTTCTCCAGTTATTTTTAAAAAATACAAAAAATGTAATGTATTATTTTATAAAGACCGTTCTCCATTTGAATTGCAATGAATCTCGGTAGCGAGTGAAAATATTTCTAATTTGTTTCTTCTTATTGAGTCACACGATCAATAAGAAGAAATAAATTAGATTAAATTTCTTTTTCTAGTATAGATGATTTTTTTTTTTCATCTTAGGTAATCGTCCCTTTTATTACGATTAACACAAAAAAATGTTGTTACCTGAAGGTACAATAATTGTCCATCAAAAGTAGCAAAATAAATAAATAAAAAGGAGAGAAAGATTACATTTTGTCAGTTATTTAAAAAAAAATGTTATAAAAAGCAATAAGGACCGTTCTCTATTTGAATTGCAATGACTATCGGCAGCGACTGAAAATACTTCTGATTTATTTCTTCTTCCTGAGTCACATGATCAATAAGAAGAAATAAATTAGATTAAATTTCTTTTTCTAGTAAAGATGATTATTTTTTATCTTTAGGTAATCGTAAATTTGGCTACGATTACTTATTAAAAAAATGTTGTTACATAAAGCTACAATAATTGTACATTTTGTAAACAAAATGTTTTGTGTTTTTGAGGTAATCGTCCCTTTTATTACGATTAACACATTAAAAATTTTGTTACATTAGGTACAATAATTGTCCATCAAAAGTAGCAACATAAATAAATAAATAAGTAAAAAGGAGACAAAGATTTAATTTCGCCAGTTATTTTTAAAAAATACAATACATGTTATAAAAAGCAATAAGGATCGTTCTCTATTTGAATTGCAATGAGTCTCGGCAGCGACTGAAAATACTTCTGATTTATTTCTTCTTACTGAATCACACGATCAATAAGAAGAAACAAATTAGATTAAATTTCTTAGATTAAATTTCTTTTTCTAGTAAAGATGATTATTTTTTATCTTTAGGTAATCGTAAATTTGGCTACGATTACTTGTTAAAAAAATGTTGTTACATAAAGCTGCAATAATTGTACATTTTGTAAACAAAATGTTTTGTGTTTTTGAGGATAGTATTGACGCTTAAGAAAAGAAAAGAAAAATAAATGAATGAGAAGCAACTACGGGGTTGGTGGGCTCTGCGAGCAGAGAGTGGTTCCTCCTAGTTATTTAAAAAATATTAGTGTTTTTAGTGTGAATAAAATTTTATTTTTAGTTTTGAAAAGTTGTTTATTGTTGTATAGTCTGGTAACAAATACAGTGATATTTTTTCAAGTTAAACACCTATGTAAGTTGAACTCCTTTACCAAAAAACGAAATTTCCCCCATATAATACAAGCAAACAGACCAAAACTTTTGTAACCTGACAGCCTGCCTATCTTGTATGTTGATGGCTGAAATAAGCTAGGAGCGTTGTTAGTTAGTCTAATTCTTTCATTACTTAACTAGAAAAAAATTGAGATAATTTTCTGTGCTATTATTTTAGATGTTAAAATTTCACTCAATGGCTGAAATAGTATAAATTAACTTAGACCCCTTTGTGACTATAATATTGACTGTATGCGTAAAATATTAGGTAATTTTGGAACAGTACAGTAAGTTTTGTTAAGTATATAAAAATAAACATAATTTTTTTTTTAATTGCATATAATACTAATTATGTTTTCTAACTACGTGTGAGTTCTTGAGAACTGTTATTTTAAGAAATTATTTTTCTCTGTAATAAAAATAAACTATGCATAGCTGCAGTTTAAGGTCTTAAACTTACTGTTACATTTTATTTTTCTTAACAAAAAGACTTCGAAACTTGAAATTACAAATGTGTCTACCAAACGGTACAGGGAGTACGGTGGAAAGAAATCATTAATCCTCGATAAGTAGTTCAAGGATTATTAACTGGTAAACTTGTAGTAAAAACTACCATTCGGACAGCTCAACAGACCATAGGAATGCAACTACAGGGCTAATGTGTTGAAAGAACCCATTTTATTCACGAACTTAACATAGGTGTTTTTCGTAATTCCAATTAGTTCGAAAGTTAAGGCATTTTTATGCGTTTTTTGTTTTGCGAATATTTTCTCACATTTTTGATTTACGTTACATTTTTCTTTGCTGCACAAAACCTATAAGATTTGAAAACTTGAAATTTTGAAGGTTTATAGAAAGGAGTATGACAGAGTAAAAAAATTAAGATGCTATTATTATTTCGAGAATTATAAAATTTGTAGTAAAAAATAACATGCTGGCCGATCTATTGCCTGCTGAAATGCAAATAAAGCGCCGAAATCAGCCGTGGTTAATTGGCCTTTTTTCTATTAGGAATTCAGCGTGAGGTTTGTTCGAAATTCCAATTTGTTTAAAAATTATCGTAATCTTAAGGGCTTTTTTTTATAGCTATTTTTAATTTTTTTCTTTTTGTTTTAAAATTAGTTTTTTTTTCATTGTTATAGAAATATGCATTTATCTGTCCGCTGACTTCGATTTGATACGCTCGCGCTATGTAACAAAAATAAATCAATGTAACAAAATCAAATGTAGCAAAAATATAAATAAATGAATAAATGAAATAAGAGGAAAAAATGAGAAAGAGAGATTAGACATTGCTAGATATAAATTTTAACATTTATATTGAAATGTTAAATTGTTTTTTTATTTTATCGTTTTACCTTTGCTTAATGTGTAAAATTACGTCTAATTTATTATTTCTTCTTTATTATCAAATTTATTACTTTTTATTTCCTCTAATTTATTACTTCTTATTGTGTCGCACATTTTGTATTCCTAAGTAAAATTTTTCAAACACAATCGATTTCTTTTCAAATCGAAGTAACCGTTCATTTTGCTATGATTAACATATTAGCAAAATGTGCGAGCATAAAATTGAAGTAATTATGCATTTTGTAAACAAAATTGACCACGAACAAATACGAATGGGAACTAACAGATAAAAAATAATCACCTTTTTAAAAAAAAAGGCAACAATGGATGAACGTATCGAGCAGTTTGGGGGCGGAGAGTCCAGATATTTTCTGGGATGTTGTACAACTGACAAAATAGCACATTTTTTAATTAATGAGTTTAATATAATATTTACGTAACAAATTATAATTCATTCTTGTAATTAGTCTGTTTTGTTTAGCGTGCGTTTTGCAAAATAAAATGTTTTAAGTCGTTTTAAAGTAATTTAGTTCTATTTATCTTTGTTTTGGTAAAATATAAAAAATACACGAGTAGCAAAATATATACAAGAATAAAAAGACGCAAACAACTATTGAAAGAGAAAAAAAAAGATGACTCATCCCTATTTTATAAATGGGCACTAAATTGAAGCATCGTTAGTGGTCAGGTTTGAATGTTTGGCAAAATTGTTAATGACATTATTTACATGATTTAC